TCTACCTTTCTACCGCGCAAGCCGCGCCCAGATCCCGGTTCCGGTCATCCACCGGGTGGTCTCCCGAATTCCCTTACGCGTACGAACGCGCGTCGCTCTGCCTACAGCCGCCACACGTGGCTGTAGTGCACGACAGTATTGAACTCTTTCATTCGTGCACGCCCGGCTCTCCTGAGGGTGATTGGTACTGCGCCAGAGCAAAAAAAGATTTCTAAGACAACCCGTTCTACGTGCCAGCGTCACGAAGGAAAAAAAGGGAGGAGGACTTCGTCCTTCCTATAATGTGCAAGACGTTTTTCGCTGAGGTATTGGAAGTACACTCTGTCCTTCAAGTTCTCCGACGGTACCTACGAAAATTGGACGCTGACTCTGCTCAGATCAATGACGTCCTACCCCTCACTATGAATTTAGAGACAGATATCGAGAACCTGCGATTGGCCGAATGGAAGAAACAAGATATTATAGGTGTGTACAGGAGGAGGAGAGACGTTCCAGTGAGCGCTTCAACAAAAGTCTTTTTGTTACAGGACATTCATTGGGCTGCACATTGCTTGGACCCCAACGCAGGCGTTACCAAGTTTGGCACCTTTGATTATCGCGGGAGAATTGGCAATGTTATTCAGCAGTACTGTAGAACCATGTTTCCGAACGACTTGCTCGCCAAGGTTAAAGAGGCCAAGCTAATGAACGCGTTTTCAGTAGAGCATTATAGCTGGAGAAATATTCGCCTGTCAGGGAATGATGCTGCTCTGAAGTTCTACATCGGTCGTCCGCTTCAATACTGGACCGATTGCCTCTGCAGAGACCTAGAATTCAAGCAGTTTGCACAGCGTGTCCTTTCTGCATCACCGACTTCGTGTGCGGTCGAGAGGAGCTTCAGCGCTATGAAGCGCATTAGTACCAAGCCGCGAAATAGACTCAAGAACGAGAAGGTAAGGAAGCTGATGTTTTGCTATTGGAATCTACGCATTCAGCTGGGAGCCTCGCCAGTGGACCGTATAGAGTTGTCGGACGGAGAGGCCGACATGGAGAACGAGCAGATTTCACGACTCTCCGCGAGCGTGTCAGGAAGCCCCGGTTCAAGTCTTCACCTCAGCTCCGCTGGCGGAAGTCTGGCTGGGTCAGACGATAACATCTCTGAAAGTGAAGAGTCAGATCTCTGGGGGTTTTCAGATGAAGACACGGACAACTCGCCCGACCGGGGCTCTGACCTCCAGCCTTGAATCCAGCATTTCCCGCCTTCTTCTACCCTCACCCCAATCCCTCCATCCTATTGCCGCAAATGCCCGTCTCCATCACCCTACCTACCCTCCCCAAGGCGAAATATGGGATATCTCCGCACAGTGCAGAGGTGTCAATCACGATAAAAAGCCACGACATGATTTGAGATTCAACCTGCCCCAGTGCCCTTTAGGCTGTACGCAGTAATGCCTTTAGTAGTAAGAGCATCGCACCGCTGAAGTTTGACGTCAGTTAGGGTAAGCACAAATTGTGATTACTCTCCAGTAGATCCTACGCACCTAATCCCCCTGCTCCTCGGCTCCGCCTGCGCCTCAACCCTGCACGTGAGGACGCCAAACAAGATCGGCGTGGACAGCGTGAGCTGCAAGTCCACGAGCCAGTTGGTCACAGCACTGGTGATGTTCTCGTAGTGGTCCGTCGCGCCCTTCATGAACACGGCCAAGAACACGACAGCGTCGACCTTCTGCGACGCGTACATCAGGCGCGCGGCAATGAGCAGCTCGTAGGCGCCGGGCACCTCCATGAGCACAACGATGCCCTCCTTGAGCCCGTTGTCGGAAAGCGTATCCTTGACGTCTTTGAACATGGCGCCGACAAACTCCGCGTTTCAGCGGGTGTACATGACGCCGATGTGCAGCTTCTCGTCGACCTCGCAGTCCGGGAACTGGAGGCCCATGTTCGAGCAGCGCGGTGCGACACGGCGACATGCGGGCTGCACGCGGCGCGGCACCACGCACACGAGCACTTGCAGAGGCGCACCCAGGAAGCACGAGCTGGCGGGCGCACGCGGCGCGGCGCTCACTGCAATGGGCACGAGGGGGGTCACGAAGGCCATTGCGGGGACATCCGGAGGGAACGGGCAGCGGGTAGGGATGGGAAGAAGAGCGGTGCGGTCAACGAGATGGGGCCGCAGGTTCGGGGCTTGGTCACAGAACCTGGAGTGAGGCGGGGAGACTAGGAGCGGGGAGACAAGGAGACGGGAAGGCACACCGAGGCAGGAGGGAGGGACGAAAGATCGGAGGGAGGGACGGAGGGAGGGACGGAAGGAGGGACGGAAGGAGGGACGGAGGGAGGGACGGAGGGAGGGACGGATGGAGAGACGGATGGAGGTACAGAGGGAGGGACGGATGGAGGTACAGAGGGAGGGACGGAGAGAGTGAGAGAGTGAGGGAGTGAGGGAGGGAGAGAGTGGAGGGAGAGAGTGAGTGAGGGATGATATTGGGATATTTTGCGGAATCGTAGGCAGGGTCGGACGGCGGAAAGCTGTAAATATGTTCTAGGAAAATCAAGATCCAGGGGAGTCCGGCGAATGCGAAAGAGCGAACTGAGCGATAGGTCAGGCGATTTCTTGAGTTGCTGCTCTCATGAGCAATCTTCCCGTTCTTCTGAATAGTTTCAAAAGTTTGCTGCAGATTTCGTTCACGCTGCAAACTACCGACATTCTGACAGCATGTCAGCGAGTAACAATCTACCAGCAGTTGGCAAAGATTAGTACACTTGGAGGTCAAGGACGTGGCTTACAACTCTTTATTACAAGTTTCACTATCTACATTTGTCAGTTAGACGAAAATAGAATGCCATTGCAAATTACTATCATCCTCAGGCAATTGCGACGGCCCTTTTGGGAATGCGGGTCAAAGCGGGATCCGTTTATTCGAAGCGGGATCCACGTGGGTGATAATGACCAAATCTGGGTATGATCAACTAATTACATGGTATTACAGTATCGACTTGCTAGTAGCGGTTCCCTGGCAATATGCTTGTCTACCGGCTGCTACCGCGACTGTCAGCCATTGTAATTACAGTCGGTTCGAGTAAAATTGTTGGATTGATTATTGTCTGCACTGTGGTGCAGACATTTTCGGCAATAGCCCTATGCCCCGGTTCGTGATGATTTAGGGGGCATCAACAAATTTGCGGACATCCGCAATTTTTGCACTGCGCTCAACCCCACCAAGCCCTTTTGAGTTTGCCCCCGTTTGTCCCCGCTGTCACGGTGCGTTTGTCTACCTGCACTCGTAGCCAGTAGACAACCCCTACATGTCTCCTCAGCCGGTACACAACCTGCACAGGCACTTTAGCAAATTTCACTTGTCTAAACCGACATAGCTCTTCACAAGATTCTTGTCTTAAAGGAATTTGGCCCACCCCAAAAGGCTGGAAGAGTACAACCCATCTCTTTAATGAGGCGCAAGTTATACAATATTTTACAACCCCTTGACATGGAGATTTCTACAAGGGCGATAACAGCTTCAAGGCCGAAATGGCCATTCTCCATGGACGGGAAGGGTTTAGCTACTGTCGTTTAGATTTGTTTTGTAAATTGCAACGGGCGGCTCTGCCCCTACGTAACTTGAACAGGAAACGACGAAATATCTTTCTTCTGTGGGCATAACCATTGCGCCTGTTTCGATTCACGATTTGTGTCCCTCATAGTGAGTAATTCTATGGGGCAACTTATCGCCAACGAAAGTAGGTTAGCTCTTTGTGACAAAAGCCTCCACAATGCTCTTCATTCAGGCCCACCTACTGAATTGTGTTCTCTTTGAGGGCAGCCTCCTTTCTTAAGCTGTAGACAGCTATTTTCATCTGTGCGATCTTTGTATAAATTGAAGTACGGAACCACATATTTCTCTTTCCATCCTACCACAGCAATCCACATCTTCAACTCTTCAACCTCTTCTTTCTCACTCCAACCACCCGAACCCACAAAAATGAACTCCAACACCGCCTTCTTCTTTGCTGTTGTCGCTGCCATCGTCGCCTCTGCCTCCGCCAGCGGTGTCAAGGATATCATTGCAGGTGTCTTTGAAAACATTGGCGCCACCCCGGCCGTCTAATTGTACCATGTGCATAAGTATCTGGAAGGGAGAAAGGAAAGGAAATAGAAGGGGATGAGGCGAAAGCCTTCTTCCTTGGCAAGACCGATTTTTGGGGTGATTACCGCAGTCGTGCTTGCTTCCTAGCTTCAAGCTAACTTTCATGCAAGACCATATTCATCGTGAGGTGAGTGCATGGCCTTGATCACAGAAGTCTGCTAAGCTGCTTGGGATAATGTAACATGATGGCGACATGATATGATAGCGAAGATTGTGGAGAGGACGGATGCTTATGAATAAACAATTATCCTTTTGTGGTTTCTATTTTTCTTGTTGCTACCACTAGTCTAGAGCGTGGTACAGATTGCGGATGTAATTCTGAGACATTGCGGGAACAGAGGAGTTACTACAGAAAGAATACCTTCTCATTTTGTCCGTCCTCTCAACCCAATGACTCTGCTCATTGTTCTACTTTCATAGAGTGTCTACAGAAGGGGGGAGCTTCAACCTCTATCGAACTGACGCGAAGAACACTTGAAGACAGACACGGACTCAATGTCGCAACAGTATATGTGGAATAGGAAGTGGGCTTCTCCACCAGCACGCTATGACCGCGGCGCAAGAACTAATCAACACTGTGTGGACGACCCGTGAGAAAACTGCTATATTTTCTGTGGTTCTGAAACTGCATGACTTGGGCCCAGTCAGCCCTTGCTTGTCAAGTAATATATGTTGTGATGGAACTAATTCGCAATTGCATGGCGTTCCTCCGGTTGGAATTTTTTGTCTTGCGGCTATCACAACTAGTGACTTCAGGGCTCTGTCGGGAGCAGGGTTATTGGAATGCACAAGTTAGCTTCATATCTTGTAATAACGGCACTGGGTGACAGCGATCCCATTATCGTGACTGGTCTGTATGGGTGTATGCCGCCTCTGGAGAGAAAGAAGGGATTGTCGCCTGTGGACCTACCCTCGATTCTTTTATGTGGAAGACTACTAGACACTGTGCCCTGGTTAAGATGACAAGCATCACCTGTCTCGTTGAACGCTGATGGGACCCACAGGAAAGAGCAGTCGATTATTCAATTTCCCGCAAAGTCTTCATCATAAATCAGATGCAAACTCCTCTGCATCTTGCGAAACTACCGACGAAGTATGCAGTGCGAAATGGTAGTCGTTTCAAGCCCGCCGGCTTCGTCAATTGGACGCGGCAAGAGGACTGACCTCTAGAAAATACATATTCATGTCACGAGACACGGAGCGGAGGGCACGCTGATCAGGTTTAGAGCTTGCCTACAGGAATTGGTCCCTTTACCTATCTGCCAATCACCTTTGACCCGAGCGCGGAAACCGCATCATAGTGAAAGCGATTTGACGCCAGGCCCCTGCAGAGACGAACAGTGTGCCTGGCAATGCTGACGATGTCGAACAAACTTCTTGAATGTCAGATTTCACTGTATCAGCTCTGTCGACAGATTCGCAGATCTGATACAGTGAACATGGGTACGGTGATGATCGTGGCATTAGACTCGGAATGCCGTTGTGGCTTTTCGAGAATGTTATATCATGTCTGCGGTATCCAGGAATGTCTCAAGCGTTCGGATCGTGTGGGAGAGGACCTTATTTTCCTCAATGTCACTGGGAAGCGGTCGTTCCTGAGCTGTCTGCACCATGCGCAAGATAGACAGTTCTGCCGTGGGACGGCTTGAATCAGACCCTTGCCAATGATCAAAAGTGAATTGGTCCGTAGAAATGTCATCAATGTTAATCAGAGGGGCCCTCACCACTGCAGAGTTCTGGCGAAACAGACTACTTATCGTATCATTCATGAATTGGCCTTGTATGCGTTCGTCTCGGCCTTTAAAGTAGGCTGTCATCGCGGCCTCGCAGGCAGGTGAGGTTGATTCTGCAATAAATCGATGGTTTAGCAATTCGTCAAGGAGTTTATCTCGATTGCTTGGACGCGAGAACATGGCGGTGATAAAGCCGTTGAATTGTGGAGACCAACGCGATGGGTTACTGAGGCTTGGAATGTCTCTTCCGGATCGTAATAACCGGGCTACTGCCGCGCCACCGTCGACTAGCTCTAAGAAAGCGACTCCAAGATCCCAAATATCAGCCCGAAAATGGAGCTTCGGTATGTCATTCGGGAAAGGCCACAGTTTTACTCCCGGTAGTGAACGCCCTGACGGTAATATGTCCACTAGAACGTGGTAAATCCCCACGTCACTGAAAGATATAGTCCCACTTTCGCATAAATGAATATTCTCTGGTCGCAGGTTTGTATGGGGTTGATTGTGTTCTCTGTGGAGAACTCGCAATTCCTTCAAGCACTCCGTTGCCACGTGGGCGATTATGGATTCAACGTCGGCATCACGAATATACGAGAAGAGACTACGCAGAGACACGCTCTTCCTGAGTTCAGACACCAGCCACGTCTCGGAAGATGATACCTGCCAGACCCCAATGTATCTGAAGACTTGAGGGATTTTGACAGTTTCGGATATGGCCTTTACGGCACGATGCAGCGCGGTTGTAGAATTCTGACCAATTGGCAATATGCGGATTGAAACAGTGGAAGCCCCAATTCTTGGAATGAATTCCTCAGCAACCGATGCAGAGATGAGGGTTCCGAACTCATTGTCATCAGCGATTAGCCCACCAGGAATAAAGACTTGCGTCGCGTTGGGAGCCAGTTGTGGGCTTGGTGGTAAAACGCGTCCTTCTTCATGCCTGTGCGATTCCATCAGGAGAGGCAGAGCATGGAGAGCAGCCGGACCCTGCGCGAGCACAGAGCTACGTGTGCAGCAAGAGACGGGCGTAGCTGCGCGGGGGCGTGCCTCAAAGGAAAATGACGCGGGTTACGGCTGTACTCCACAGCTTCCAAAAAATCCAAAAAAGTGCGCATTGTAGATCGGGTAGCTGCACGGACTTTCCGATTGCGCTCTTTCTCCGCCGTTGGTAGAGCTCTGTGCCTCCGAGCTGGGTTCTTGCAGCATTGTACCCACGATGCTCCAAGAACCCGCGCACGATGATGAAAAAATAGAATAGTTGTACGCTTTCCTCGACGCACATACAAATCATGTTAGGGATGTGCAAGGTTTCGTTAAGAGTGCTCTTCCCCTTTTTCCGCTCTATCTTCCTCTTCGCCTTGAGTACCAGAGCTCACATCTCGTTGGTGGCCTTCTTCTTGGGCTTGTTCCTCGGTCACCAAATGTGCCTTCCCTGGATCGACATCCGCAATACGTTCTTTGACTATCTCTGGAACTGGATCATTCCACCAAATCGGTCCTCCATCTCCCGACGCGCAGCTCACACATCCTGTGAGAACGTTGGGAAGGATTTGACCAGTCCTGCCGCGAAGTGGCGTACGACAAACACCTGTGGTCCCAAAGTTCGTGTTTGACTTTGTAATTACCATCAAAGAACACAAACGCTCATATCCGGGTCGCCGCCATTTCGCCATCAGTTTCCCGTCCGCAAGCTTCTGGTTGACAAGATAATCCAAAAGCTTTTTCGATATCTTGTTTTCCTTGAAGTGCATGTCGTACAAGTACCGGTTTTTCTCATAATGCAAACGATGCATGGGCCACGATATTTCATTCCTGCGTTTGTCGTCCATGGGCTCGTTCAGCGCCTCACGCGTTCGGGCTTCGAATTCTATTAGCTTCTCCGAAACGTGCTCAATGCCGGGGGGCGCCTTTCGCGTTTTCATTTTAATTCGCCACGCCATTCCTTGGGATGTAGACTATCTGCTCCGAATGCGACACCTTTTGAACGAACACGCAAGCCGCAGAAGACTTGTGGAGAACAATGCCGATGATTTCTGAAGTTGGCCTTAGGAGAGTAAATAAGTTACACTTCATCCGCGCGCACTCTAGAAGACATTCTTGTATCCGGCTTTTTAGTTTTACGGAACAGTTTTTGTGGATTTGCAAAAATCAAAATTTTTTTTTTGCTCTGCTACAGGGGGGTAATCCCCTCCCCACCCCGCCTCCCCCCGCGTTCTCTAACTACAAGTAGGACAGGGCGGTCTGGCTTACGGCAGAAGGCATTTAGCAAGTAGCAAAACACTCTGTTGCCAACCCGCGCCACCGAATTTCAACTAACCATTGTTCTAAGCGCAATGTCATCCCAACCAGCGCAGGGTACGACCGCGGGGCGCCGCACGCAATCCTCGGAAGAGGTTCGGGCAGCGTACAACCAGCGCTTGGATGATCAAGTCACGAAGGCGCTGAACGCGTTTCGGGTACGCATGCCCATTTCTTTGAACGGAGTCTTCATGACTTCAACAACATCCGCCGCCACTCGAGTAGGGTGAGGTGCCATGAGCGATGTCCAATTTCTGAGGTTAGATTCTCACCTTTCTTGTTTGCTGGTTTGGTCTCCATTTTTGGCAGGATGTGGTCAGCTGTTGTGAGATTCAAGACAAGGCTACCAATGCGCGGACCGATTTCCAGTCCCAGGTGGAAGTGGCGAACTTGGCAAAAGCGGCCGATGAGCTTCTGCGTTTGGTTTCGGAGTTGAAAATTGCCGTCATTGTGCAGGAGTTTCTAGAAAGGAATAGGGAATGCATGCTCATGCGCAATGTTTACGACCAAGAGACTCGCCACTCGTTGAATGACATGGGGGAGTTGCTCGGGAATGTGTCAAACGCACTCTCCAAACTGGAGAAACACTATTATGCGTCGACTACCCGGTGGGTGAGCAACGTCCCGGAGTAGCCTTTGTACCTGGCTTGTATTATTAGTGGACGGCTGGCATGTCGGGCAGTTTACGCGGGACGCGTACATGGGAGATAGGTCAGGCCGTGAATCGTCGACGAGACCACATGTTATCATAGCGAATGCCAGAACGACAATTCTGAGCAAAATGAATATAGTGCGCCATGAATAGTGCCTCAGAACGATCGAGAGTCCTTGCTCTTCCGCTTCTCACGAAGAAGAGAACAGGAGATCGTTTCATTTTGGTAGATGGGGATGTGGCACCCAAGTAGCTACGAACGGATTGGAACGCTCCCCCTCGTCACGAGAGAAAGGGACACGAGGTGGTGGGTGTACAAAGCGGCACTGTGATGAGCGAAAAAACGTATTCCCCATCACGATGCCCTAGCGAGCCAGCTATTCTACTGGTCCAGCTATTGTTCACGTCGGTCCTCGGCATAAGGAGGATTGGGAGGGGATTTAAATATGATTGTGCCACACAATGTCTGCCGTCTGAAAGAATGAAGACCTTTCTTCAGGTCAACAGTTCAAGAAGGGGGTGTAAGATGAGAGCCTCCAGGGCATAAAGCCCGTTTTGTGGTAAGAAACCCGTACCACGCTCCAAGTCCTGATGATACGTACGGGCCGGGCGAACTAAGGGCTTTTTCGAACCGGGAGCAGCTTAAAGAAATGAAGGGGCGTACCCTTGCACTATAAGCCCGGAAGATATTGCTGCTGCATATCCTTAATCACTTTGAACGGGAGCTATTACTCTGATGTGTCTGGGGCAGGCTAGCGGATCGCTCACAGATAGATGTAGGGTGTGACAATCTGCCAGGGAACGAGATAGTAGCTCGCGTAGCAGACGCATTTTATTGATCAGAAAGCCCCCCACCCTCAAGTTGTCTCTGCTATTTAGAGTTCAGCGTCATTCGCATTGTTTAGTTCAGTACGTACATCACTGATGAGAAGTACGGATTCACCATGTGGCCGGATGCACTGAAGCAAAACCTTCCATGTCGGTTTTCGTGTCGGTTATGCTATTAGTGCCAAAGGCAATACGGTCAGAATGAGAGAACCGCTCTCGCGTTGTGAGATACTGGCATGCATTTCAAAATGTACTTTTATTTCGTTTCCAATCATGGTTATTTGACCGACACAACCAAACACACTCGTAGGCTGTATACGGTATCAACGCGCACTCCGTATATAGCTGAGGCCGCTGGCGACGCTTGCCGTAGAGCAACTTACCGTTTGCACCGGACTAAGATACACATGTGCGTACCTCTTGAGTTCATTCCTGACCTCGTCAAAGTGCGCGTCATCCTGATTGAAACGGTTCCGCCGTCCTGGTTCTTTGTCAATTGCATCGCGGTGTTTCACCACTAGTCTTCTTCACGTAAGGGCCAGCCACAGAAAGATGGGCATCGAAAAACTTTTCAACAAGTGCCCTGTGCTCCCTGCTGAACCTACTATAAGCATTGCAAGATATCTGCGAAACATACGCCAGACGGTTCGTCAGGCAAACGAGGTCGAAGAGAAGGGTGAAACAGAGCGTGCTGCGCTGCTGCAGATCCGTATTTTGCAGCTAATCTGCAAGACGCTACCCACTCATCCAGAGTACGAACTCGCTGAAAACCAATCCGTAGTGAAGGAGATGAGAAGCATTGCACACACGGGTTTTGCAAATGTGGAACGATTAGCAAACCTGTTGTCGGACGACAGACATGTTGATCAGGAGTCAGAGAAAGAGCCTGTTACTCGACGCCGCTCCAGAGCTCAGCGCATCGAGATTGCGACGAGTCTTTTGGATCTCTTTGAGAAAATTGCTGTGGAACACACGGCGAATGGTTTGCGTACTATTGCGGTTCTGGGAGGTCGACCTGAACCACGACAGAATGGGGGCGACGGCACATCTGTAAGTTGTATATGTATTACCGCCTTGGTTATCCCTTCACAGATGCCGTCGTCGGATAAGTCCAGAATTCGATACGGGGCAGATATTACGGATCTACTTGACAAGAAGGGCTTGACACACATGGGCTTTATTGAAATGTGCCCAGACCTAGGCCGTGTAGCTCTCACCTCTTCTGTGATGCTTGCGCGGTTGCAGAAGAAGCAACCTAGTGCCATTGGAGTTGTGATCGCTCCACAAGATACTACTAGAGTACAAGCCTTTTCAGTGAACGAGGGCTACGGTCTTGACTATTTGCTAGCGTGTGCGGAACGGAACATCACTCCCGCAGAAGAAGTGATTCCTCGCGGGCAGCCAGGGAAGGGGAAACCAATATGGTCAAAGGCACAAGAAGTAGAGCTTAGAAACGAGAGCGAGCCAGCATTTAAGCTTTATGATTTACGACCCCTAGCTGCGGCAAGAGATGAGCACGATCGAAAGCAACAATTGTCTCATCAAAATGACGCAGATGACAAGTTGTGAACGCGATGTAATTAGCAACACAAATAGCATAATGATCCTTGACACTTCCCATCCACATTCCCGCAGTTACCCCAATATCTTTTCGGACATGACCAAAACGGATATAATTTCACCCAGCATCCTCAAAACTCCTAGACGAGACAGCAACCCGACTGCAGCCACATTGCAAGATGATGCCCCATAAAACCTACGATAACGGCACATACAACTATCTTCTCTTGCGGCGTTTCTTCGACTTAGGTTTCGTAGTCTTCGTCGGGGCGCCATTACTTCGGAAACCGTCCGCCTCATCCAAAGTACTGGAGCTTGGTAGCACGTCGCTACTCGCCACAGTCTCACTCGGGACTGGTGTGATGGCAGCCTTTGCAAGCTCCGGTAACTGACTCCGAATATAAACAGTTTGTGCGGTGGACAGTAAGTTGTTGGTGACCCAATATACACCGAGTCCCGACGGTACATTGAGCGAAAACCACCCGATAAGCAGTGGCATGAACTTCAAAATCTTTGCGGTTTGTTGCTGCTGTGGGTCATCCGAGGGCGGCTGGATAAGCTTTTGCGAATAGAACTGGGACGCCACCAAGATTACGGGGAGAATTAGGTAGCAGAGGGCGTCATGCCATCCGATAGGCGGGGCACCATTGACTAGCGGATAGAGCCATGTGTTGAGCCCCTGCCCCGTCTTGGAGACGGGCCCCTGCAAACTGGGCAACCAGAGGAATGACTCCTTCAACAAGTCGTCGCTGGCGAGGTTAAGCACGGAGCGATACAAAGCAATCCAGACCGGAATCTGGGCCAGGACGGGCAGGCAGCCGGCGAGTGGGTTGATCTGCTCGTCCTTGTACAGCTGTGCGGTCATCTGATTGAGCACGGCTGGGTTGTCCTTGTAATCGGCCTGAATCTTTTTGAGGCGCGGCGAGAGGGCCTGCATCTTCATCGTAGATTCCATCTGCTTAAAATTGAGGGGAAACGTGACGGCCTTGATAACGACGGTGAACATAATAATAGACAAGCCGTACGCGCCCGGCACGCCGGCCTTACTGAGGACGCCGTGCAACGACACGATGAGGCCTTCCACGACGCCGACGAACGAGTCCCACCAGCCGGACTTCTTCGCCTCGACGGCCGTCTCGGTGACGGCCTGGGCCGCGCCGCCCGTGGCGACGGCGGCGTCGGAGAGGAGCAGGGAGAAGGAGCGGACGGCGTCGGGGGAGAGCAGGTGCGAGGTGACGTGGTGCAGCGTGGACGGGTCGAGCGACATGAGCGGGGCGGGGCGCGGCGAGACGCGGCGCGTCGACGTGACGGACGCTCCCGTCGCGAAGGCGCTGCGCAGGGCCGGGCGGGCGAGCGGCGCGAGGCCGGAGAAGGCGAGCATGGCGATGGAGGGAGATGGGGACGGGGTGGCGGGGTGGAGGAGGTGGGTTTTGACGAGAGGGGGGGGGGTTGATGATCTCGTACGGGCTCAAGAAGGGAGGCGGGAACAGGGGCAGGAATGGGGCCGCGCGAGACGAGGCCGTCGGATCTCCTGTGTGGGGTGGCGTCGGTTAAGGGGTGAAACGACACCCCCCTACAAAGCCGCTGCGGACGCCCTTGAGATACTACCCCTGGCCCGTCTATGATTCCGTGGACACGTGGCATGATCTTCCTACCCGCAATTGGGCTCCTGCTCGTGCTCCTTCTAGCGCTCCTTCTCACCAACTCGGCGTAAGTGGAGTAGAGGTGGAGGGAGTACGGAAGTGGAGGGAAGGCCGCCACTAATTCAACAAAGTCTCAATCGATGGACATGCTCCCTTCCGCCTCGCAGAAGAACAACATCTAGTACACTGTACCTCGCACAAGCCCACACTATAACCTACACCTGAGAGCCTACTACACATCGAGCAAGTCCTCTGTCGTCGCCACCTCTCCATACTCCACCTCTTCGCTGCTCATGTCCTCCACGCTGTCCTCCACCATGTGCCCCCTTCTTCTCACCTCGACGACGACTTCCTCCACGCCCACGCCCCGAAACACCTTCGTCACATCGCTCTGAATCCTCTCCACCTCCTCGAACGCCACCCCGCCCTCCTCCACGAACACCACCACGCTCCCGACGTACAACCCGCTCGTCACCGTCCACACGTGTGTCGCGCCCACCTCGCACACGCCTTCCACCTTAGCCACGCGCTTCACGACGTCCGTCTCCATCTGGATGTTCATCGGCGCCCCTTGCAACAACACGTTCACACTCTCCTTCGCAATCCCAAAATTCAGCACCACAATTAGCACCACGATCACCAGCGTCAGAATCGGATCCAGCAGGCTCAGGCTCGGCCTGGCCCACATGAGAAAGCCCGCGAACAGCACCACCATATTCTCCACCGAGTCTGCAATCACGTGCGCGCGCAACGCCCGGATGTTCAAGCTCGAGATGCCCCGCGTCAGCACGGCCGCCATGAAGATGTTGCAGGACAGGGTGATCGCCTCCGACAAAAACACGATCTTACCCTCGACATGGATCACTGCCTTGGTGCCGTACTGGATATGTACTAGCCGCTGTAACGCCTCGATGAACAGCTTGATGCACAGCAAAATAAGCGCCAGCACCGAAATCAACGCGCTCAGCACCTCCGCGCGCGCAAACCCGTAGCTGTATCTGGATGTGGGCGGCCGCGCCGCGACCACCACGGAGATAAGCGAGATCACGACCGTCACGCCATCTAAGGCCGAGTGTAACGCCTCTACGCGCAGCACGGACGATTTTGCAATTATACCACCGACTAATTGCGCCGTGCACGCAGCGACTAAGATAAAGAGCGCGATGGAGAGCGAGCGGGCGTCGGATTGGAAGCGAGATTCTAGACCATGTGAGTGTGGTAGATACCTTCGCCAGCCGTCGTGCGAGTGATCGTGGCCGCAGCCGCCGTGCGTGTGGCTGTGGTCGTGGCTGTGGTCGTCCCCATGGCCGTGGTCGTGGTCGTAGTTCTGGCCGTGGTCGTGGTCGTGGTCGTGGCCGTGGTCATGGTCGTGGTCATGGTCGTGGTCATGGGCGTCATGAGGATGTTGGTGGGGGCGCTTTCGCAAGGGTGAGGCGTCCTTTCCGTCCTGGGCGTGGTGTTGTAGATGGTCATGCGCATCTGGGTGGGGGTGAGTGTAAGCGTGGGTGTGGTCGTGGGTGTCGCCGTGACATGGGGAGTGGTCGTCGTCAGCGGCGAGCTCAAAGTGTTCTCGGGCAACGTCAAACGGAACGGAGTCCGACATGGTGAGGGTGGGATGGGTACCGGTTGTGGCCGCCGGACGGGGTTGGTGCGCAGGTCATGAAACGAGGGAGGGGGAGGAGGAGAGATTCGACGGTGTTACCAAACGGGGACCGCCGTATAGGAGGTGGGAGGGCGCTGGTGGCAGTGGTAGGATACTGTAGAGCATTAGTACAGTACGCAAATGCTCTACCACTGCCACCGTCCACTACAGTATTGCTGTACAGTACCCAAGGGTACGCTGTACAGCAATACTGTAGTGGACGCATTACTGCGCCTGACTATCTGGGCGCATCTGTGGTGTTCCGCCGGTGACTGCGGCTTCAGGACGAACAGGACTGAAAACACATTAAAATAGCCGCCATGATTACTGTACCCCTCGAGGGGTAGTAGGGAACCTATCGTAGCCTTCTTTGGGCCTTCTTTGGGCGCTTCTGTCCCAGAGATTCTGGGACTGTAACGAGGCTCACTGTATGGTATGATATTCGCCGTTGTCATGTTGTCATGGTTAAACCAAACCTGTTGAACGGAGCCTTCTAGAAGGGGAGCAAGGCGTCGACTCTGCCAGTTGCATGGAAATGATGGACAACATCATTTCTCGCCCCTTCTCAAAACACTAGGCACTTTCTCCCTTTGACCATCGAAGGTGTACCTTCGAAGGTACAGTACGTTTCGGGCAGCTCAAGATACCCGATCATCAATCTGCTCATCTCATCGCCACATCGTAGGGATAACCTTCTTCTTCAGGTTGCACGCTACAGTAAAGCCGCGTAGGACTGGGAGGCGTTCGCGAACTATGATAATCCAGTACGCAAGTAGAATGAGAGCAACGATTTTTCGTCCTACACCTCTATATTTTTAGGCGGAAATCAGCAATTGTCAATACTGTGGCGAGTGGTTGATATTGTCAGCCATCGTCATTGATCGCAGGGCAAACCTGTATTCAAACACAACTTCATAGCTTGATGCTCTGCAAGAATGATGCGGCACGCCTGCGTCTCAACAACTTAGGACCTCGAAAAGTTTATGTTCAGTGCCTCATGACGTGAATCGAGCAATCTCTTCCTCTGCGCTCTCTACGAGTAGTAGCTCGGTTTTAACTCACATCCGCTAATCTCCTCTCCGACTTAAAAGACGGAAACCGTAGCCATAAATACCTCATCCTCCACTCTTGTTCGACTACGGTACTACAACTCATCATGGTCTTCAGAAGAATCCTCACTGTGGTCTTCAGAAGCAGGGTCTGCGCTACTACTAGATGCCTCCTTCAAATTTGCGTCACCATCAGACTTCTCCTCCTCTGAGTCAGCCTTCTCCTCCTCTGAGTCAGCCTTCTCCTCCTCGGGGTACTCTTCCACTATAGGCGCACTCGGATCCACGCCAACACTCTCACCAATCCACTTGTACATTCTGTCTGCGTAGCTCTTGTAGTCACTGTCCCGCATTAAATATCCGGATGCAACTAGCGCAGTGTCGTACACAAGATGCCCAAGCTCGGCTGCCCTTTCATCGTCCTCTCCGCTTTCTACAAGGCGTAGCATCTCTTTTGTGATCGGATGGTGTGCATTAAGCTCCATAATCTTACTCTTTGGCGTCATGTATCCGAAACTGTCGGGGTCCGCGAATGCTTGCGCCCTCATAATTATTTCCATTCTCGCCGAATAACCGTACTGGTCCGATGCCAACACACACACTGTATCACTGAGCCGGTTTGATAGTCTCACCTTGGAGACCTTGTCTCCCAACTTCTTCTTCAGGAATTTCGTCAGCGGCTTGTACATTTTCTTCAGAGCCTTGTTCTTCTCCTTCTCTTCTTTTTGATCTTTCTCACCAAATTTGAAGTTGTCTTTCGAAATTGACATGAACTTCGTGCCTTCGTAGTCAAGCAACTGCGTGATCATGTGCTCGTCAATGGCCTGTGTCAAATAGAGAACCTCATACCCTTTTTTGATCAGTTTCTCGAGGAATGGACTATCCTTGACGGATTCGAGATCTGCACCAGAGTGATAATAGATCTGATCTTGATCTTCCTTCATGCGCTCCATGTATTGATCGAGAGATGCCCAATCATTGGGGTCTTTGTTGTCAGTTTTCGAAGTGCGGAAGCGGAGGAGCTTCGCAAGTCGAGCTCTGTTTGCGCTATCTTCAATGACACCGAGCTTAATGCTCTTACCAAACTTATTCCAAAATTGGATGTAGGGCTTGGCCTTCTTCTCGTTCGTCTTTTCATCACTCGACTCGTCTGATTCTTCTTCTGCCTCGGGCTCCTCATCATCCTTCTTCATGATCCCCTTGATCATTTCCAGAGCTTTCCGGACCAATTTGCGCTTGATGACGTTCATAATCTTACTTTCTTGGAGCATTTCACGAGAAACGTTGATCGGGATGTCATCGCTGTCGACAATGCCAACGATGAAAGCAAGATACCGCGGCAATAATGCGTTCTCAAAATTGTCAGTCACCAGCACCCGGCGAACGTACAGCTTGATGGCATCTTTCTCCTCCTGCTGTTCACCACTGTACAATTCGAGAGGCGGCTTGCTCGGAATGTACAAAATACTTTTAAACTCAACATCTCCCTCTCCTTTGAAGTGCGTGTGGGCTAGTGGGGCACCTGGCATTTTCCCAACGGTCTCGTAGAACGCATCGTACTCTTCCTTTGTAATCTCGTTGGGATCGCGGGTCCAGATCGGCTTGTTCTCGTTAAGGCGCGTCCAGACCTTCTGGGTTTCAGTTGTTTTCTTCGGCTCATCTCGGGCATCCTTCGCGTCTCCGTCTTCGACCTTGATGTCATCGTCATCAGTTTCTTCACCAGACTTTTCATCCTCAGATTCTACCTCAGATTCTACCTCAGTCTCTTTCTTTGGGTCAGCTTCAGTTTCATCATCAGTTTCAGATTCTTTCGCGTCGTCGTCCTTCACTTCAACTTCCACTTCCTCAGTTGTCTCGAGATAGATCGGGAAATCGATGAACTGAGAGTATTTCTTGATGAGGTTCTCCAGCTTTTTCTCATCCAAATAATCTTCGCCATCATCCTTCATGTGAAGGGTCAAGCGGGTACCGCGACCAAGCTGCTCGCCGTCTGTATCCTCGAAAATGGTGAAAGTTTGCTCTGCGCCGGATTCCCAAACGTACTGCTTATCGTCATTGTGCTTCGACGTCACTGTAACTTTATCTGCGACAAGGTAGGCGGAATAAAACCCTACGCCAAACTGTCCAATGAGGTTTGAGGTGTCTTTCGCTTCTGCAGCCTTCTTCAAGAATGCATTAGTGCCACTCTTCGCAATGGTACCCAAATTCTTTATGAGATCTTCCCTCGTCATACCAAGACCAGTATCCCTGATCTCCAGCGTCCCGGCCTCCTTGTTTGCGCGCACGCGAATTTCAAGCTTAGCCTGATCGCCCTCACCGAGAAGCTTAGAGTTAGACAAGGCGAGGAAGCGGATCTTGTCGAGCGCATCGGAAGCATTCGAGATGAGCTCCCGCAAAAAGACGTCCTTGTTGGAGTAGAGCGAGTTGATGATGATGTCCATGAGTCGGTTCACCTCGGCCTGAAATTCGAACTTTTCGCCAGATGGCTTGGACGACCCATCCGCAGTGGGCGTGTCGGCAGTCATGCGGCCAGAGTCCACACCGCTGGTGTCGACTGAGGCATCTGCAGAGCACGCCGCAATGGCGAGCAGGAGGAAGGCGCCAACGAAAAAGCGGAGAGAAGCCATGGCTCTAGATCGTGAACGACCAACGTGCATTGAACACAGAGCACTCGCGTGGGAGGGAATTTTTTTCTGGGAACAATTGAAGCTGTACTGGTTGGAACTGACGGACAGATCTGGTGTGGGTCAGGTAGATTTAATGGGGGAGAGGTCAACTGAGGCAGACACACTCGTCGTCGGTGTCGCGCAATGCGGTATTTGTGTCTTGCGGATAAAGGGGGCACTAGCGAACGAGCTTGATGAGTTTGTGTAAGGCGTGCTGATCATACCGAACGTGGTCTCTCTAGAGGGATCTCGCCCAACCGCGATCCTGTACTGTCCCCAGCAGCCCAGCAATGCGACACGTATTCTCGGACTAATGAAAAATTGCCTTTCCACCAATGGAGCAATGGCCAGCAATGTGAGTTTGATCCGTCGTGCATTTCATTCGTCTAGACGCTCCGTAACACAATCAACATTGTTGCGGGTTCCCGCCGTCGTCCCGTCCTTACAGCTTATATTGATTGTATGAACGCAGTACTATTTAGATTTCTGTTGTATTTGAGCATGTAGATGTCAATCATTATTCAATCATTTTCTTCAACAACCACTTAACTGCCCGCGGAAAAACGCTTCTTGGATGTTATGAGAGCATCACATTGGCTTACACAATCGAGAATACGTGTACGGGTGTACACATGGAACGATAGATTACCGTTTGGGCAATGAGGTGATCGTTTGATCAATCGCACAATACAAGATCTACTTAACCACGAGCAGCAAGCGAGCAGCAAGCCAGTTGGTCGACAACTCTCTGAGCAAGACCTTTTAGTGCAGAGTGCCGTGTGGTTGAAAGTCTGACCGCTTCGTTTTCCAGAAAAGTAGATCGCATTCTCAGCCATATCGAGACGGAAGTGGGCGGGTTCCTCTCCCTGCGCAGCTCCAACGCGACTGATGCGCAAGCGTCCGCTTGCACCTCACTCGCATTGGAGCTGTGGAGAAGGTCGTCGATGCCCGTCCAGAACTTTCCGGTATCGTCATTGCATCGCTCAGCAATCTGACTTGTGCGGCTGCGGTCCTACGGCCACATTCGAAGCACGCGTGGGACTGGACATATGAAGCATTCCAAACAGAGGCGAGTCTCAGTCAATGAGGCTCGTTCTCAAGACAGTTATGCTAGAACAGTAGCACCCGAACAGCATCGGTCTTCATGGACGCGGCGGCTTGCTTGATTACGTTAACGTGCGATCCGCTTGCGGGGAGGTCATGCAACGTTGGCGGTCGCCGTTTCGGGTACAGTGATTTCAATGTTGAGGTGAAGTGTTGTTACTACGGAATAGGTCGTGTTTACGAGTTTGCGGGTTGCTCAAAGCAGGCGTAGTTAGAGGTGGCATGGGGCATGCCCGTTTAGATTTTTATCGCATTTTGTTCATGTGTGTCTTTGATGAATGAGGCATTTTCACTGCGGACGCTCACTCAGACGGAAAGTATCGCAGCCTCACCAACTAATTGAATATAAGCCTGTGCATCTACTGCCGTAATGTACTGACGTTACCCCTGAGAAACTGAGATGGCGACCGTCCTGCCATGGCTTACGTCCTTCCGCCGGCAGTTGATTGACTTCAACATGCGCATACCGTATCAAGGGTACTACACAGGTTTGTGATGTGCAGTCCATTGGCCGACTGTAAGGAGTATGTACAGTACACTGTAGAACTCTGACATCCCCCTGCATGCAATGCAATAGCGTACGTGTACTACAGTAAACCACACTGCACTTTTCTTATTTCTGAAAATTAATTCGATGTCTCTCCCAGTTTTCAGGATGAACAACAATATTATCGAAGCAGCACAAGCACGCGTTTGTCCACGGCCTGGTTATCCAATGGGCCACGCATCAATGCCCTGATGAACAAGCAAGCACCTGTGAACTTTTGTCGTCAGCACCGCACCTCAACCTCCATCTCTGAGGTGAAAATCACCTTTCCATTCCTTTGACACGCAAATTCTGACCGCAGCGCATGCAACTGTGATTCCTCTTCAGCGAAACCGACAACATAAACGTCTAGCGAAACGCGTCTGAACTGGCCACATCACCCAGCGGACCCGTATTCGAAGTCACTCGCGTTGGCAAGAGAAAAGATCTTACGAGAGTGAGCGGCCCGCGCCGAACCGAAACCACGAGATGTTCAAGATCTCCATGTTGGATTTGTTCCGCAAAGTCCCCGTCGACTTGACGCAGGCGACGCGCCGCGGCGGCCTGCTCTCGTTAGCTGTCGCTACTATCATTGGCCTCGTACTGTTTTGCGAGGTTTGGACATATCTGGAGGGCGAGACCAAGTCGCGCATCATTCTCGACAGCAACACCGAGTCTAAGCTTGAGATTAACTTTGAGATTTCCTTCTTTGAACTTCCGTGCCGCTTCGCGAACGTAGAGGTTTGGGATTATCTTGGAAACGCAAAATTGAACGTCGATGCAGATATCAGCAAAACTATTCTCGGCCACGAGCAAAACGAAAACCATTTGACAGAATACAAGGACAAGGGGACGGTCGCCACCCAACTTGTCGATAAGCACGAGGATGCGCATTTACCGGAGCAGGTTGTCGAGTTGACGTCGAGCAACTACGGACAGTATCTTAAACAGAATGAGTACACTTTTGTTATATACTACGTCAACGTAAGTGACCATCTTCTCCATTCAATGTTAACCGCGCCTTTTTGTTTTTGCAGCATCTTTCTTACCGCCTTCATTTTTGTGTATGCTTACGATGAATGTTTTCTACGTAGTGGTGTGGGTTTTGCAAAATGGCACTGCCAGTCTGGTCCAAGTTTGCGAAGCACCTTCCAAGCATACGACCGAACGTAAAGATTGCGCAGGTCGATTGCGAAAAGAATGCCGAACTATGCCAGGCGACAAAGATTACAGGATACCCCACGTTCATCATGTTCAAGGGTGTCAATCCTTTAGAGGAAGACTATGGTGGCGAACGCTCAGTCGAGGCATTTTCAAAGTATGTCGAGAAAGTCTCAGATACACCGCCGGACGACCACAACCTCAAGTACCAATGGCAGGAGGGGTGCTTGTTGGGCGGACGATTGCTGGTTAACCGAGTACCCGGAAACTTCCATATTTCCGCGAAGAGTGATGCACACAATTTCGACCAGAAGAGCACGAATACATCACATTTGATCCATCACCTCTCGTTTGGCGGCGAAATGCAACATGATTTGTATATGGCCGTACCTAAGGATATTCGCGTGAATATCTCTCCGCTAGACGATATCCTCTTCATCAACCACAAGGAACACATGTCCCATGAGCACTATATCAAGGTAGTTTCAACGCACTACCAGGCAGGCTCTTTGAGAAGACGCAAGGACGTGCTCGGATACCAGGTATGCTTATATGCACAGCTTGAAAGTATGGCCAAAGCGCTTGCAAACAGCTTCACGTTTCTAACTGCTTTGATATGTCTGAATCTTTTTATTGCACCAGATGGCAACCTCTAACCACCAATACAAATCAGATCCCAACGTCCCCGAGACTCGATTTTCGTATGATTTATCACCAACAGCTGTTGTAATAAGTCAAGCTGGTAGAAGATGGTACGAGTTTCTGACATCCCTATGCGCCATCATTGGGGGCACGTTCACGACTTTCTCGTTGATGGACGGAGTTCTCCATTCGATGCAGCGACGACTGGCGAGACCGGTGACGCCGTCTAGCAAGTTGACATAAGATGTGCAGAGGCAAAAGTAACTATTGTCGCGAGAAAGCTACGAGAAGTGTTAAAAGGAATAACATGCGGAAGTTTGAAGACACGGAGAACGAGAACAGTTCGATGTGTAGTAATGAATACGTTTTTACCCTCCAGCTACTACAATTCGGAGAGGATTGAGCTGCAGCGCGAGCGCCTCAACGAGAAACTTCAACTAAGAAGGGCAGAATTAGCATACCTTATGGGAAAAAAGTGCGGTGGCGCAACGCAAGGTGAGTGAGAAGCCACTAGGATGAGCGAGCGGTTGAGGCGAGGCCCCAAATTAGAAAGAAGAGACAAGTCCGAACATAAACGTCACAACGACCGAAAGCAGTTTTAGTCATACCCACAATTGTTGACCGAGCGATCGGTTCATGGGATGTGGTTGCTGAGCCATCGGAAACCCTCAGCATAGCCCATCTTACGCACAACGGAGACCATGAACAGCTCGATGGGGCGAATATCGCTCATTGGGGCACTGCCCTGACCCGTAGTCAAATGATGCAAGCCGAGGGCGGAACGAAGCTCCTCGTCGCTGGCGGCCCTGGCGACGTCGATCTTATTGCCGAGGATAAGAAACGGGACGTCGGAGAGCATCTCATCGTTGATCAAGGCATCCAGCTCCTTCTTAACCTCTGGGAAACGCTCGCGATCCACGGCGTCGACGAGAAAGACGACGCCATCGACCTTGGCATAGTAATTCCTCCAGATCTGACGGGCGGCGGCGTGGCCACCCAGGTCGAAGGCGCGGAACCTGATCTTGCCGATTACGACTTCCTCGGCCGTGGGCATCTGGGTGGGAATGTGCTGGGCGACGCGGTCGTCGCGCAGGACGTGCATGAGGGTGGTCTTTCCGGCATTGTCGAGGCCGAGGAAGAGGATTTTGGCGTTCTTGTAGTACAGGCCGAGGTAGGACAAGGCGTCCCAAAACCAGGAAAACATGGTGGGGTTTGGCGAGGC